CTTTTTTTGAATAGTATATAATGGAAAAGTTGTAAAATCCGTTTAAACATTTCGGACAATCAAAAATATGGCCTAGGGGATTTCCATTAAAGAAAATAAGTGAAAATGGGGCAAATAGTTATTTCGTGTCTGACTCCAAGAAGCCAAGTATATTAAAGATACTAAGAAACGGTGATGAAGACATTGATTCCGTTTTTCGACAGACTTTAAAACCAACAGCTTTAAATATCTCATTTGATAGTGCAACGTCCCCTGTTGTCATCCCACCTCTAGTATTTACTGCGATAAACAGTCAGGCTACTCTCTTTCGGTATGAGGCCCTATGGGCCATTGTTCTTCCGGTTGCGCCGTCTTATCAACATTCTGACGTTATGAGAGGATATTGGGCCCAACGTCTGCTGTGGGAAATTGGAGGATCTGTCGGTTGTTATCCTCCAAATACGTATCAAATTAGAAATAGCAGATCGTATGCGCTGACAGAAGATTCAAAAGGGTCTTATTTTGATCCTAATAAGTTAGTTGACTTTCTAATACAGTGGAAATGTCCAGTTGAACGAACATTTTTCCAGTGTGTTTCCTTGTTGAGTGAAAAGTTAGCTGAAGATGGATATTGGCAGCAACACGACCACCTACTTGTTAAAGCCTGGATACACGAACTGGAAACATCAAGTTATAAAGAGCCGAAATGAAAACCGTTTACACATCAGAATATAACCAATTCAGTAATATATGAACCAGTCGAAAGGGTGAACTTAAAAATACTACAACAATCCAAATGGAACCAAGTTTTGGGAATGACTTCATGTTGTAAAGATACTTCTTACCAAATAAAAAGCACGAATCTAGCTTCTGTGACCTTTCCAGATATATTGCTAGTAATTATGTTTAATTTTCCTTTTTATGATAATATACCGTACTTACAGTTAATGTACAGCGTAACGTTTACACATATTGTCTATTGTGGTCCAAACATCGAACGTTTTCTTAACGCATCCAAACATTTTACTAATAAAGTGACCTTTGTTGAATCTGTGGTTGATGGAGGCTATTGTGTGTATACCTGTTTAAGTGCCGCTATGAAAATGAATTTCGATGTTCAAGGATACTTATCGATAGGAGACGACACATTACTCAATTCATGGAATATTCACAAATTACCACTGGAATTCACAAATACATGGAATATTCACAAATTACCACTGGACAAGATATGGCACCATTCTGACAGTACTCACCTTTACAAAGGCAAAATAAGTCCAGCGCAATTGTGGCAAACACCCGTTGGTCAAATTGCAATGACCAAAGCATGGCAGCTTCTGCACAGTGTATCTTCTGAAAATCATGACCTTAAACCAGCTGTGGAAAAATTTGTACACACCCTTCTTGCAAATAATGCACCTAAGTATGGCGCTATGTTTGGGGCGTCTGATATTCTGTATATACCCAGGAAATATAAGAAGGATACAATATTCTTCTTGGATGTGTTTGCTGAATGTAAGGTATTTTTAGAAATAGCAATAGCCACTTTAGTGAACGGTTTGGAAGATAAAAATGATTTCATTGATTTAGAAGGAAAATATCTGTGGTTTGATGGTAAAAGGAAGAAAATACCAGAACTTTTTAAACCAAATGATATTTACCTTCATCCTGTAAAACTCTCCCAGATAAAAACTAAACTTAACAATTTCTTTTGTAAGACTTATTTCCCTCTTACATTAAACGGAATTCGAACTAACAATACAGAAGTATAACAAAGACTTATCATTCCTGACTTGAAGCCAACTATTTCTAAGAAGAATTGACATCTAGTTTTGATTTTTTTGTGATTATATTATAAAAGATTTACTTGAAAATTTTAATTGCTAATCACAAATATACAATATATTATATACAATATTAGTACTATAAGATGTTAGTAGAAACTGAAACAATAAAATCAGTATCAAATATTTACAATTAAATATTCAGTATTTTCTGGTATCTAATATATGTTTATTATATCAAATATTAGCACTGGAGAAACTTAATATTGGCATCATAATCAGTATTTGCTGGCATATAATGTGTGCTGATTATATAAAACCACGTGATCCCAATTGAGTATTCACTGGTGTCTACTGATAAGTCATAGCTGTTTTTTTCTTATCTCTATTAGGTCTCAGTATTTGCTGGTTTCTAACATATGCATATTACATAAAATGTTAGCACTATAAGATGCTAGGACAAATTTAGTACAATTTTACAATTAAATATCCAGTATTTTCTTCCATGGAAAACTGAATACAAGATCACGAGTATTTAGGTATTTGGTCACAAGTAAATATTTTAGTATATACTGGTATCTATGGTGGCCATGTTAAATCTCGCGCTTTTCATAACGCGACAACACGACAGTATTGACGCAACCGAACGACACTTTACTCTGTCGTAACATCGTGTTATTTTTGTCGAGATGTCGGCTTATTAGTCTCATTCTACAAGTCACAAAAATACAGCTGTACTCATTACATCATATAAGTAGAAGATTATATAAATATAAATCAGACTTTGTTTTCTCAAAATAATGAAACATTTTGCGCCCAAAAGTGAATTATATTTGGTATTATATTAAAACAAATCTAAAATTACAATAGCAGGACCAAAGTGAGTTAGCTATGTTAATTCCTTGTACGACACCCACCAATACTTATAGATGATTGAAGCGATAGTTTAGAAGGGATTTCAGAAGATTTCGCATTTGTTTTATATCAGTATGGGAAGATGGATTGTAGAAAGGCTCAAATCCGGCCACATTATTTAAAATCACCGCATTTGTGTAGCACGCCACCCTAATAGTTACAGGAGGTTTTTTTTTATGAGTAGCGGAAAACGATTCGCAGCTGTTATTGACCTTATCGCATATTGATCCGTTTGGTATCACTAATGGGATCGAGGCCTAGATGATTAAAAATAGGCCAAGTATTGCCCTCAGTATTTACAGGTATCTAATATGTGCTTATATAAAATATTAGCACTGTAAGATGCTTGGAGAAACTAAATACGGGATGGTCAATATTTAAAGCCTTACCTATAATTAAATATTCAGCAGGAGAAACAGAATACGGTGTTATTAATATCTGGATTAGGTCCCACAATTAAATATTCAGTATGTGCTTATTAAATAAAATAGTAGCACAATAAGATCTTGCGTATTTTTTGGTGTCACAATTAAATATTTTAGTATGTAATGGTACCGTACCGAAAGTGTGCTTTTTATATAAAACACGAGCACTATAAGGTGCTAGAGGAGACTAAATGTAGAGTGACCAATATCAAGAGCAGGTCTCACAATAAAATATTCAGTATTTGCTAGTGTCTAAAATAGATTATTATAGAAATATCCGCACTATAAAATACTGGGGGGGGGGGGATAAAATATAATATGGTTAAATAATCAGTATTTGCTGGTATCTAATACGTGCTTATATAAAACATTAGCACTATTATTAGATGCTAGGGGAAACTGAATAGGAGTATCAATATTGAGAGCCTTTATTATATTTAAATGCTCAGTACTAACTTGTACCAAATAAGTGTTTATTAAAATATTAGATTCGGCATTATATATCTGGTCTTTAAACTTAATAGCTAAAGACTCTTTGTAACCTTTTGTTTTAAGATATTGTAAGAACTACAAAAACATATATTTGATTTTGTTTTAGAAAGGTAATATATCAGATTTGTAAACGTATATAGTTACTCATTTTGATTCAGTATTTTGTCAGTAACGTGGATTAACAAGCCAACAGTGAGGCTGATGTCCCCCGCCGAAATTGCAAAATAAATAGATGACACATATTAATTAATCGCACATTTATTTTTTTCACTAAGTTTCATCACTCTCTATCAGATAGAATCAAGATTATCTTGTCCCAAACCATCGACAAATGAAATCGATTAGCTCTGCTTAGCTTCAGCTCGAAATGTTAATTATTGAACTCAGTCAAGACATTCACCCAATGAACATCTACATATACATCAAGTTTAAACATTCACCTAATAGACACCTATGCCAAGTTTGAACATTCTACCTCAATTAGAAGGAGAGTTATTGTGTTCCAAAGTTTCTACCAATCAAATTGCTTATCACTCTGCTTACCCTCAGCAAAAAATGTTCATTATCGAACTTAGTTAAGGTATTCATATAATAAATCTATACACCAAGTTTCATCAATCTCACTTAATTAGAACTAAAGTTATCGTGTCCCAAAGCATCAACCAATCAAATTGCTTATCTCTGCTTACCCTAAGCGGAAAATGCTCATCTTCGAACTCCATCAAGGCATTGACCTAATCAACACATACACCAAGTTTGAACATTCTAGCTCAATTAGGAAGAGAGTTATCGTGCCCCAAAGTATCAACCAATCAAATTGCTTATCTCTGCTTACCCTAAGCGGAAAATGCTCATCTTCGAACTCCATCAAGGCATTGACCTAATAAACACATACACCAAGTTTGAACATTCTAGCTCAATTAAAAGTTATCGTGTCCCAAAGCATCAACCAATCAAATTGCTTATCTCTGCTTACCCTAAGCGGAAAATGCTCATCTTCGAACTCCATCAAGGCATTGACCTAATCAACACATACACCAAGTTTGAACATTCTAGCCCGATTAGGAAGAGAGTTATCGTGTCCCAAAGCATCAACCAATCAAATTGCTTATCTCTGCTTACCCTAAGCGGAAAATTCTCATCTTCGAACTCCATCAAGGCATTGACCTAATAAACACATACACCAAGTTTGAACATTCTAGCTCAATTAGGAAGAGAGTTATTGTGTCCCAAAAAGTGTGACGGACAGACAGACGGACAGACAGACAGACGAACCCATTTTAATAGTCCCCTGCTTTCTTCGAAAGGCGGGGGACAATAAACTAAGAAACACCACGATGATTTTCATCTATCATGTCTACAGGTCAATTGTATAGTGTTTGTTTAATAGTGCCCTTTTAGTGATTCTAAAATATGCCATTTTAAGAAATGAACAAATCTTTAACCAATACACTATTCTTGGCCAGGGTTGAAGCCATTACCTATTTTTGCCAATATTTAATTTTATGCCAATTCAGAACTGTTAGTAAAACTATAGCATTTAATTGACAATTATCACGATTTTCATCTGGTCCTAAATCGAGTTTATGCAAACATTTTGCTTGGATTTAATTAGAATGAGTTTAACAATATGCTGATCTATTTTATACTCCTCTCAAATTGTAGTTGGCGAACCATGCAGCTAGAGGTCTAAATTTGTATATAGATTAATGTCTTCACTTTGTCCAACAGAGACGTGGTTGGGAGTATCATATGTATTCAGTTCGGTCGGCGAATTTGCCTGTGTTGTTGGTACAGGGAGTTGGTTCCTGAAATCATAAACACATATTTCAAATGGGAACAACATAAAAGTCAAACCAATTAGCAGAACATTTTATATGTAATTGTTATATACCTTTTAATGTAGAAAAAAAATGATAAAACTCCAATTATCACTGTAACCACTATTCCAAATATAGCACCAATAATACCAGCTACTACTGGACTCATATCTTCATCTTTAACCATCTCTAAGAAATATTAATACTCTGATAGAACTTCTTTGTAACATAAACATATATACTACCAAATATAGACGCAGACGTATTAAGCGTCCTGTCGGGAAACCAGCAGCACAGTCGGCTACGCGACCCACGCCGAATCTAAAGTCCACAGGACAAGTTCTAAACTATCTGTTATGAACTGTATCACATCAGATGCATTAATTGTAAAAATGTGAACCGATTGATGACTATAAAAACGCGTTCATAATTTACAATCCGAAATTTAAAAGACGTTCTTTCTTATTCCCCAATGAACAATCTCACCAAGTTTCCAATTTGTTCTCCAAGTAATTTGAACGTACAACGATCGAAAAATAACACAAATTCTATTTATAACTGTATTGCGTTCACAAGCTTCAAACGTGGTTGGAGATTTACGAAAAATCGAAAGGATTCCGCTGTAGACCCTAATGCACAATCCGTGGAGTCCTAAGATAAAAGGGGAAAAACTCTGCAATTTACGTTTGAAGAATTTAGATATGGTTACTCCTTAAAACCGAATTGTTCCCCACATACTGTGCTATACAATTGTCACATTATATGAAAACCTATAATATTGCCAGACAAAGAATACAGGCATAGGCAGATTTGTGGAGAAAAACAAAACCGTTGACGCGTTATAATTCAATATAGCTAATTGTATATTTTCAGTAAGCCTGAAATGTGCAGGAACATTAAGTATGTAATTGGCCGACATTCGGCATCGCGTGTAGCATTACACTTTCGACAAAATGTATCGAGTTTACAAATGTTACATTTTCCACCAACCCTAGTACAAGTATCAAGAAAATTTTACTGCAACAGGGCCTTTGGAGCCAGCCGCAGACATGGGAGTGTGTAGTACGTACCACCCCCCCCCCCCCCCACACCAATAATTGCAAATATGTGTTCATTACTTGTCCGGGGGAGATAAGCCCCCGAAACCCCATTTTGGCTGCCTGCACTGCCCCAAACATACACCCCCCCCCCCCAATATATATTTTTTTCTCGACGGGCCTGTTGTAACCATCAGCGAACTAACCTTGTTTACATTCAGTATATGAACATCTTCCTGTTGTTATATTACATTCTCCACTACAAGTAATAGAACATTTTGAACCACATTTAGCACCAAACCAACCGGGTTTACAGATAAAACAGGTTCCATCAGATTTAGCACATTCTCCGATACAGGTTAGAGAACATTTCGATTCACAATTGGTACCATACCATCCAGATTGACAAGCGTCACAGTCTCCTGTAATCCTATCACAGTTACCTACACAATTCCTTACTTCACATGTTGAGCCACAGATTGGTGAATATTTTCCCAGATTACATCCTTCAGTACAAGCACCAGTATCTTTGCTACAGTTAATGTTTATACATCCATAATTACATCCCAGTTGACAGTCAGTACCATATCTACCCTGGACACAATGTTCACATTGACACACATCTGTACAAATCCCGGTATCTTTATGACATTTGCTTGAGCAGCCGTTGTTACAAAGATGTTGACAGTTAGTGCCAAACCATCCTCGATTACATTCACTACACTGTCCCGTATCCTTGTCACAGTTACGCCCACAGTTGATAACTGTACATGTTGACTCACAGTTTTTACCATACCATCCTGGTTTACATGTATGACATTCTCCGGAGTCCATGATTTTCTGCCCATTGAATTAATATACAGTATTTTATATTTTTATAATTTTATTTTTAATTTTTAATTTTTTAATTTATTATTATTTTCTTTACACCTGGATCAGCGATCACTCTCGTTCACTTATACATACACACTTCTCTTTATATTATTGTTTATCTACAGCTCAGGTTAATTGGTTTTCCATTAACAGTGTTAATTCACTGATCTTTATAAATATATCATTCACCCCCTTTTAATCCCTGTAAGAGATTTCTGTTGTGTGGGTTTAGTCCCTAATGGCCCCCTAATCGAAGGTGTTAAGATTTAATTGCATTTGATTATTATCTTTGTTGCATATTCCGTATATATATGTGCCCACAATTCACATATTTGTATCATTTGCTTGATAAAGACGAGAGTATCCTCGTCGAAACATCGCTTAGTATCAAACTCAGTAATTGTGTATCCATAAAATTGTACCTTGTGTTTCGGTTCAGTAGAACATAACACTTTTGAAAGAGTTATTTACTTGATTCCAGACCACGGCTGTTTGTCCCACTAAATATTTAATTTCCCTCCGTCCGAGGGTTGTATCTTTTTGATATCGATATAAACTAGATACAAATTTTAACCTGCTATTGTGCTGACGCGTGATCGAATCTTGGAAGGAGGCTGCATACTCAAAAATAATTTGGTCCACAATATCCATTGGTTATGACGATTTGCATAGTTAATCAGTGGCTTAAAATTTGCCTTGAGAACTATTGAAAATTTAAAACTTGAGCTAAGACTGGCAACTAATTTTCTATGTACCGTAATTCTTAATGAAACTCTCAACAAAAATAAAACTACTATTATAAAATATTATTTTGACAGTTATTAAATCAATAACACGGCATATGTGTCTGCTATCGAATTAAAAATGCATTATGTAAGATTTAGACAAAGAGCTGACAGTTTAAATATAATAATTTAAGAATACACTTCAGTCAATTTAAATAATATTTATGGATATGCAATAGCCAAATGTAGCGCTTAAATAATTTCCTCTTTAAAAGAAATTCACTCACACTAGCCATTACTGTGTAGATTGTAGGTGGTCTCTAACTGGTCAGGTCAAATGTATCTAATTTTGGTAAACAGTTTTTAACCGTTTTTAGCCATTACTGTGTAGATTGTAGGTGGTCTCTAACTGGTCAGGTCAAATGTATCTAATTTTGGTAAACAGTTTTTAACCGTCCAAAATTTGTGTAATTAGAACGTAAGCAATCTTTTTTTTTTAATTCGTTTATAATTCATTGTATTATGTTTCTCAAATAACTATATAATTGCTTTAAACATTCCTTGACATATCGCGTATTTTTTTTTATCTTGAAATTGTACATAACAATATTCCATTATTCAAGGGATTATATCTTCCTTCTTTCCTACTACAATACCAGAAACAAATCTTTTGTGCCTAAATCTAAAGGAATAACGGTATGCGAAATTATTGTAAATCTAAAAAATTATAAGATATCTTATAAAAAATATTACACTTTATCCCAAAGGCTGCCATTCAATCTGCTGCTGAAAATAGGTGTTCTGTGATGAACATTTTTCAGCAATACTATGAATATCAATGATGTAATGAACAGTGAGGAATATTAAAATAGAGACGTCAACCAAAAGGTAGTGCTATTGTAAACATACATATATTTATTTTAAACTGCGATGACGAGGCTCACCGTCACTCCCCGTAGGGTTTAATAGATTCGATTCATACGTGTTAAAAATGGACGCGTAATAGACATTTATCAATACATATCGAAGTGTGAAAACCTTACAACGTGACGAATGACAAATCAGCCATCTCTCGGCAATGGATAAAGTTGGAGATTATTCTGTGATATCTGCCTGATCGTATATAAGCCTACAAGTCGTCTTTTTCTCGGCAAAGGACAAAGTTGAAATATATATGCATACTATTAGTTAAAGGAAGTTAGTAAATAGTATTAGTAAAGGGTAGTGAATATCACTCTTTAGAACAAACATTTGTTTTAAGGGATAAAACTATAATTTCTTTTTTCAAAATCGCGACACTTCAGGTAATATTGGACATTTGGGATTTAATGGTGGTTTGCATAAGGTATCAAATGGTAAAATGTCTTTTAAACTATAAATAAATGTGGTGTTGGCAAAACAACGTAAAGGGTTACTCTTATGAAAATCGAACAATCATTTATTCTCTCATGGGCTTAAAAACTTGAAAAGTGATTCCCACAACTTGCCTATTTACCGGAAATGTAAAAAATTAAAATGAATTATGGATTTTCGTTTGCTCTTCTATATGACTTAATATATGCCTTTGGAAATAGTTATGCCCCGTCTAGCTCTGCTCATTTACAAAGGCAGCTAAATTTTAACCCCCATAAGTATTCCGAAAAGGTAAAAAAAAATGCACATTTTCCAAGAATACCGTTAATTCCGGGTCAGTCGGATAATTATTACCCAGTTTATAAGCTAACAGCTAGATCCTAGATCTAATATGTATTGACAGCTGATCATCACAAATATGTTATCACGAAGTTTCAAGCACAAATTTTGAAAACTAAAAACTGCTATAAAATCTATAAAAAAATAATAAAAAATTCTGAACCATTTTAACGGATACATTTATGAAAGTTTAAATAAGACCTAACCAAATTAGTTAATTCGGACTGTTCGCATGGTTTTGACGTGCCGAATCTTTAAAAATAGTTTTTATCATTAAATCACTCCAAGTTATGCAATAAGCATTTTTCTGCGAAATAAGCAAAGTGGGAACAGAACAAAAACAACATATTAATCCGAACAAAAACAATACTGTTTCACACAGGCTTCGCAGTGTGAAACCCTAATAAGTATTATTGTCACTAGACATTTCTAACCGAATGCAGTCAATTTGTAAAGTACCTGTCTATCCTAATGCGATATGCAAGTGATCCATTTAACGCAGGCGTAGTCGTAATGTTTATGTTCTGAGAAAGTGACAATATGTGAAATTTACAAGAGAATACGGGGTAAAAATTCCAGGTATGTCAAAAAGTTTTAGCAATTTTAATTAAAAAAATGAAGAAATGACAAGCTATTTTCGAGTCGAAGTACACCTGGAACAGACAGTAGATCATTTGCAATAATAGATGCGATGGTAATAGATCAGAACGTATTGTTCGTATAATTATTTGTCAACATTGAAGAAGTGCTATACTTACAAATATCTCTGTTATAAATCTTAATGTTGTTTACGCTGAAAACATGTTGTAGATCAACACACCACCATCCGGGACTGCCCAGAAGAGTATGGGTGCATGATACACCAAAGTAATCAGGATAAGTATCACCATTTACAGCCCTAGATGCCAGACAACCGTATGATGTAGAACTCTGACTGCTTGGTTTTAAACAAGCTATATTTGTTATTTGAGCTGTAAGAGAATTAAACATATCACAGCTGTATTATCTCCATATTCATCAATAATGTTTCCATTTAAGATTAGTATATAATTGGGCGTTAAAGCCTTTAAACACGAACGAATACATATGTTCACGGCCTGATTTTTCGAGCAAATCACACCGTCTCTGACGTTTGCTATTGATTTAACTAGATTATCCAGTGCAATCTAAAAACTTAACTATGATTTTTGTGAGTATCTGAAATGAAAGTGATTAGTAAGCTCAGGTAAACTAGGTCATATCTGATAGTTTATACATTTTGCAATGTAGTTTAATGTTATTGACTGTATTCGTAATGGCAGTATTTTAGAGTCCCGATCCATGACTCTAAAGACTAGAGGTTGTTATAAACCATCAATCGAACGAAAAGCTGAAAATATATTTATTTAGAAACTTATGAATATGTAATGCTACCTGTATAGATTAAACTTAGAAATGGGAAAACTCAACATGATCATAATAACACGATAACATAACATAACCAGTTTTGCGTGTATATGCGTGAAAAGACGCCACTTTAAATACAACCCTGACTTGTGCAAGTTTTTTGTTACTCGTTCAAGAGAAATAAATTCAAATCGGTGTCAAATATTGCAGACCAAACAGTTCTTTATTCAGTGTTCTTAATTCTAAGCAATTCAAAGTCCATTATTCTTATTTCTTCGTTTGCAGTCTTTTTCACAGTGTGCTTCATTTGTAGAAGTGACGTTAGTGGTGAGCTGAAATCAACCTGAGATACAATAAGTCACCATACAATAATGGGAATCGATCAAGCATACAATACGAAAATCGCTCGATGATCACGACTGTAGTGAAATCACATGCGTTGTATTTCTAATCAATGATAGAGTTATGTTTCTATAGATATATATAACTGTATGGGTTAATCAAGTTTTAGTAATTACGTAATTTTTTTTGCACAAAAGACAGAGGATTTTATCCGCTACGACTGAAATCGTGTATTTAATAGTGGGGTAATCGTGGTGGTCCTGTTCGGTCCTATCATATATTGTGGTCAGTCGTAGCAATTGTGTTGATCGTATCGAAACGTATTCGAACGTTTCTGCACGTACCAGATCGTGGACTCAATAGGGTCAATCTTATTGTAACACATCGCATGACAGTGGGAACCTAGCATAAAATTGGCCTTGTTTGTTCATACGACTTCTCACGAGCTGTGTACGTTTTGTGTTTAAAACACTAACTTGATGACGATACTGGTATTTATGTTATTAATCAATATCGTCTCCAGTAGAATGCTACCCAGGCGACAAAACAATACGACAAACGCTTACAACAGTGCCGTAAGCATACTTTGTCGTGAAGTATGAAAACGGTATGATTTTTTCAATCATCCACACTAATTTGTTTTTAAATAATGCCACCTGATGAAGATAAAAAGAACTTGTCTAAGAATATGAGTAGCATTTTTGAAAATGAAGAATATAATTACCTGAGATGTAAACAACTTTGAATAGTAGAGAAAATATACGAAGATAATTTGGTGACGCCATTTTAAAGCAATGCGTAATATAATATATACATCGGTATGAATAGCCCTAAAATACTTCCCAGTACAATGTTTTAATATAACGACTAAATATTTGTAAG